GATTAATCAGCTCTAGGACCTTGGGGTTACAGTCTGTAGAATTCTTTAGATATATGATCCTATTATTTATAAATAGGGATAGTATAACTCTTCTTTCCCTATTTGGATCCTTTTTATGTCTTTCTCTTGCATCTACTTGTTCTTGAGTCCAGTTGTAATTCTGCTTTATAAGTTTCTCATTCTTTGGTCTCTTCCCCTTCCTTCACTTTGGCCTAATGATTTCACTGATTGAGTTATCTCTCCCCTGCTCTCTCTCCTTTGTTTCTTCCTTACTCCTCTATTTTAAATGACTCTTTTTCAAAACTGAAACATACTACGTGTTTTCTGAGACTCCCTTCTTTCTTTCTTTTACTCAGGCCACACCCTCTGCAGATACACATACTCTTTACTCCACACGTGTCACTCCCATTTTTGTTGCAGTTTTTCTCATGCTGTGTTCTACTTCTAGAATTTGCTATCATTTTAAAATATGGATCTGTATGTTTGACACTGAAATTTCAGTGTCTTCCTGACATCATGGGTCTGGAAGGGTATCAGTTGTTCACACATAGATTCCTGTTACCTTTTTATCTGAAAAAATTTCCTGATGCATATTTTTTACATTCTAGAAGAAACAATAGGCATCAATATTTCTTTTTATTTATTTCTTTTAAGAAGTTTTCTGAAACTTAAAACATTCAAGTGAGAAAACATTGAAAATCACTGGCGTACACTGTCAGTATTAGTGAATCTATTATTTGAGCAAATATATTAAATTATAATTTTAAGATCTTCATTCATTTTCTCACATACATTAGATGAAGCCATCCAGTATCTTGTTCTGTGAAGGCCCTCCTTTTGCAATATGAATTGACTTGCTCAAGCAAAAATTATTTTATAGCCTTTTATTTTTTCCTGTCCTTAGGCTTGAACACTAGTCCTGAGAGCTGTCCCTGAGCTTCTTTTGCTGAAAGCTATCTCTTACCACTTGAGTGGTACCACTTGAGCCACTTCCAGCTTTTCTGTGATTTAGTTGGAGATAAGACTCTCACAGACTTTCCTGCCCATGTTAGCTTTGAACTGTGATCCTCAGATGTCAGCCTCCTGGGTAGCTAGGGTTACAGGCTTTGACCAGCCGAGCCTGGTTTATTACAGCCTATTTTAAATGCTACCTAGCTTTTAGACATATCAATGACTTCTAAAAGCCTCATTTCTAAGAAGTTGAAAAGAACAGTAGTATGTTTATCCTTCAAAACCAAATCAGTCATTGAAGCTATGTACCAGCGTACATTCAGCCAGAATTTAGGAGAGTAAGGTTTACAATCTCCTATGAGACCTAAGGGGGATGTTAAACATATAAAATTACCTTTTACAACTTCTGCTTTGAAAGAAATGAACATAGATGTGAATATTTGGAAAATATTCTAAATATTTTCTTATAGAATACATTATACGATTAAGTCACAAAAGATGCAGAGTCAAGCAGACAGGGGACATTTCTGTTTCTAATTCTGATGCCTTATTGGCTTCTGTATCTATTTTTCATAAACCTAAGATCTAGTTTCTGATATATGAAATAATATGAGGTGACATTTGGATTATCAGAATATTTTCTTGGAACATGATTGTGATTCTTGCTTTTCCTGACACCTGGAGCTTCTGCACAGAAGCCTTGTCTGGCCTTCAGTAGTATATACTGAGAACGGTCGGTGGTTTACACAGATGATAGCATCCTATTTGGAAAGTTGCTAATGAACAGCTCAGATTCTCTCAGGGTTCTTAAAAACTAGAATGTAAAAATAAGTACAGAACCATAATTATAAATTATTATATTACACAGTAATATAAGTACTGGTTAATATATCATTAAAATTCAATTATTTTAACCTCATACTCTCTTCAATAATAAATAATATTATCAGAAACATGGATTCTAATGTAATAGTGTGGTTACAACAATTTTCATCCCTTAATATAAATCATGTACTTTTAATTTGTATGAAAGATACTATACAAGCAGATGATTAATATCTAGGTTTGAATTCAGCACCCTTGCTTGGCTTTCTGCTCAAAGCTTATTCTGTACCACTTGAACTACACTTCTAGTCCAATATTTAGCTGGTTAATTGTAAACAGTGTCTCAAAGATTTTCTGTCCTAATGAGATCCTCCAAGTTCAACATTCTGAGTAGCTAGGATGATAAGCATGAGCCACGATTATCTATCTACTTTTTTAAAAAATAAGTTTTTTTATTGTGAAAATCCTGTACAGAGGAGTTGCAGTTACCTGAGCAAGGTAATGAGTACATTTCTTATCCAGCATTGTTGCCTCCTCCTCCTTTGTTTTTCCCCTACCAGCCCTTTTCCTTCCCACCTCCTCAACTACATGCTCCCTGTCCTCCCCCCAAATTGTAAAGTTCATTTTTCGACATAGTGTCTTGTACATCTCATTGCCGCAATGGTTAATCTGTATCCCTATTTAAACATTTATCTACTTTTAATTTAATGTGTTCACTGATTTTCAATTCCCCCCTTCTTTGGTAAGCTGTTAACACATCATCATAGAGTCTTTATTCTTTGTTTTCCTTAGAGGATTCCTATATGATCCTCATCACTTAGTCAACACGGTGACTTCTGACATCTTGAAATTGCTTTATATAATATGATCTTCATAACCACTGCTATTTTCTTTTTTTTTTAATTTAATTTAATTTTATTTGTGAACATACTGTACAGAGGAGTTACAGTTACATGGGCAGAATAATGCGTACATTTCTTAATTTCTTACCAAGCATTGCAGCCTCCTCCTTTGTTTACCCTTCACATCCCTTCCAGCCTCCCCCCTCCCCCGCTAATCCCAATCCTTCCCCCCCCCCCCCCCCCCCCCCCCCCCCCCCCCGCGCAACAACGTTGTAAAGCTCGTTTTGGACATGACAACTTGTACTTCTCATTGTTGCAACAGGTCCACCTGTATCCTTAAACAACTGGTTTTTCCCCATCTCCTCCACAAGTTATACTGACATCAAATATAGTGAAAGCAGGGGTTATACTGTGGGGGAGGGACATACAAAGCAACAAAGAGATAATCTTATAAATGTGTTAGAAACACATGCATGAAAGAAAAAAACATTAAAATACACATCTAAGGGTTCATTTTCCTGACATCACATTATCTGACCTTTTCCGCTTGACTCATACATATACTAGATATTACAAATAAGGGAAACCATGGGACCTACGTTTCTTTGGGCCTGGCTTACTTCACACCACTGCTATTTTCTTAACTTCTGCTCCCATTCCTCCATAATTCAAACAGCTGTACATAGAGTCTAGTAATTTTCAACAAATACTTTCTCTTCTATTCTTTGGTTTCTTATGTATTCCTCTTTAATGAAGACAGCAGCTGCTATGGTTAGTAACTATGTAGTTTAATAGATGCAGTGCAAATTTTGTTTTGTCTTTTTGCTAATGTCATGATTGTGGTAAGTTAATATTTGTCACAGTTACTCACTTTCCTTATTTATAAAGAATAGGTATACACAATTATTTTGAAATTTTTGGAAATAAAACAGTACTGTCTTGGAAAGTGGTATTTCATTAGAATAAAAAAGTAATTATGGACATGTTTCCCTATCTGTAACCCTTATGTAAGTGTATTTTCGGAACTCAGAATTTTTTTTTATATTCCCCACATTCCTAAGTAATATTTCCAATAGGATGCAAGTCAGCCTATCAGCAATTAAGAATGAAAGAAAGGCTGGGTACTGGTAGCTCATACCTGTAATCCTAGCTACTCAGAAGGCTGAGATAAACATCCCTTGTGCACTCTTTTGTGTGTGTGTGTTTGCCTGCCCTAGCCTTGAACTTAAGGCCTGGGGTCTGTCTCTGAACTCTTTTACTCAAGGATAAAACTCTACCACTTGAGCCACAGCTCCAATTCTCCCTTTGGAATATTGTGTATTAAAGAGACTCATAGACTTTCCTGCTTGAGTTGTGTGATCCTCTCATCTCAATAACTAGTATTATAGGCATGAACCACCAGCACTTGGCTTCCCTGAGACTCTTATCCCCAGTTAACTTCTAAAAGAAACTGAAAGTGGAGCTGTGCCTCAAGTGGTAACCTTGAGCAGAAAATCTCAGAGACAGTGCCCAGGCCCTGAGTTCAAGCCCAAGGGTTGACAAAAAAGAAAAAAGAAATTACTGAATAAGAATTCAGTAAGTATTCAGTATAAATAATTATACAGAAATAGTAGCATCTATCATTTATCTCCCTTCAGCTAAGTTAGATATGGTAAAATAAATTATGGAATATTCATCATTGAAGCTATTTTTTTAAATTGTGAATAAAGGAATTTTTTTATATGGAGCCACATTGTGTGTGTGTGTGTGTGTGTGTGTGTGTGTGTGTGTGTGTGTGTGTGTGTGTGTGTTTTCTTTGTGCTACCTTCTTTACTAAAACTGATTCTCTACCTGTCCCCTTCAGACTTATTCTGACAATAGAGAGAAAAAGAAAGACCTATAGGAACATAGCTTAACTGGGCATGGGAAATTTGTGTCACACTGAGATACATATTTTTTTCTCTGTAATTTGTCAAGGTGTCAAGTCATATCTAAGGAGAAAAAGCCACATGAACCATTAGTCTTCATTGCTTCCTTTGTGTAGGAAGTTGTTTGCTCAAATATTTTTATGTGGAACATGTTTTATCTAGATTTTTAGTTAAATAATGTAATAATAGTATTGTAATAATAAATATAATGTAATACTAAAATTGATAGGCAATTTGTGTGTATTTTGTTTCACATATATATTTATGAGTTTTTAGACATGTAGATTATCCAATTGACAATTCTACTCCTAGTTGACATCACCACTCTTGTTTAAGCAATGATCTATAGAGCTAGATTATACTTTTATTTTATCTATTGATTTGGGGGAATTATATAAGAATAAAAGTTTTCATTGAATTTTAATCTGATAACATGTAATTATTAATTAGAATTGATTCTACTATTTTTTTTCAGTGTCCAACTAAAACCAAAGCAACATTTGGAGTCCATCTTAAAATAGTAGGAGACTGGACAGGTATGTAGAATATAAAGTTTTTACATACATACTTTGAAAAATAATGCTTCAGAATATCTTGAATGGTTTAAGTAGTATTAAGCACTAGCATGTACACAGCTGTGTATGTGTTTCAAGCTGTTTTTCTGTTTTATTTCTCTGCTTTGTACAATTTGACATCCTAAGTTTTCTTGTAAGGTGCACTTTTGCAAACAGGATGCTATTATTAATAATGTATTATTTACTGTGTTTGAAAAATCATAGGTTTCTGCCTACTTGTCAGATACAATGACAAGAGTGAGAATGCTGAGATGTATTACTTAGAAAACATGTTTTTAAAATTCATGGTTGGTTTGACTCTGAATATAGACAACACCCTGAGATCACATAGATCTTCCTGTCCCTTCATAACCTTTTGTGAGTATCTATGCCTATAATAATTCCACAGAAGATTTAGGAGATGGTCATTTTAATAGCAAGTGTGTTGGTGATACTTTATTCACCAAATACAATTCATTCTCTGAGACATGCCTTTTTTTGTGTGAAAATACCATAGAGGGGTTATAATTACATTCGCAAGATAATGAGTACATTTCTTATCAAGCATTGTTGGCTCCTCTTCCCTTTCCCATCCCTTCCCTTCTCCTCCTTCCCCTTCCCATGCCTTCCCATCTCCCCCCACCCCCAAAGTTGTTAAGTTCGTTTTTCGACATAACAACTTGTACATCTCATTGTTGCAATGGGTCCACCTGTATCCCTAGTTAAATGATTTGTTTTTTCCATTCCCCTCCACAAATTATACCAACATCAAATACAGTGAAAGCCGGGGCTATACTGTGGGGGAGGGACATACAAAGCAACAAAGAAATCATCTTATAAATATATTAGAAACAATTGAATGAAAGCAAAAACATTTGAATACTTACCATGGGGTTCATTTCACCTAACATCAACTTTTGAGACATGCCTTGTATTAAGAGTTCGGACTAAATAAAAGTAATATTATTCATTCTTATATTGCTTTAACCCAGTAGAATGAGTTAAAAAAAAGTGCTCAGGACATGTTGACCTGTTAGTTGCTTGTTTACATTATTTTTATAAGGAGAGAATAAAAATTGTAAAGAATACAAGTTCAGATTAAGGTATTTGATAATTACAAGCAAAACACAAATTATTTTATAAAATGTAGGAATCAGAAAATGTAGATTCAGTGTCCTCTAGGGATATACAAGATTATTTGTAGAAAAGGTAAAGAATTTGGAATCCTAGAAATCAGGAAATAAAAATTGATGTTGATTAAAAAAGTAAAACTTATATCATTGTTAAAAATGAATGAAAGCAATGGCAGTGACTATATATTTTCGAAGGTTGGGTCAATCAGCTTCTATCAGTAAAATGAAAGCAAAAATCAACCAAACCAAAACCAAAAACTAAACTAAAACAAGGTCACCAAAATAAATGTCTGTTTTGCAAGTAGGATGGAAGGCATTGCTACTTAGAGTGAGCTTAGTGGAGATTATGAATGCTTTCAAAAATATTATTATATCCTAAAGATTTTAGGGACCATCTGAAATGTTTAGGGGAGTCTGATGAAAATGGTATAAATAAATCATTGGGTGGATTACAACCACAGGAAAACTTGCAGTTTCTTCACAGTCAGTGAATGGTAAAGGAAACCATGGTGGGTAAACATGGAATAGAATAGACTTGTGAATACAAGTTAAGAAGTTAGAAATGGAAAAAAAAGTAATTTCTTTAAACATTATGAAAATGACCACTTGTATAAGATGCTCAATAACAAAAGAAATATTTGAAGATGAGTAGAAAAGTAGTTGATAGCTGGGTATCATATCACAAGGTTAAAAATAATAGCTGTGTGTATAAAAATCTATGTGTTTAAAGGTTTAAAGGGACTCACCTTCAATGAGAGATAATAAAATGGGGAAAATATCCCCATTTAAAAGGCAAAAGTCAAATTAGTCAAAGAAATCTTTAAGAAGCAATGAATGATTTAGTATTATAAAAAGTAATCTGATGGAGATAATGTTCATGTTCATGAAGTAGCATTTAAAAAAGGCCTCATAGTAGGCTGGGTGCTGGTGGCTCACACTTATAATCCTAGCTACCCAAGAGACTGAGATTTGAAGATCATGTATGGAACCTAGTCAGGGCAGGAACGACTGTGAGACTTATCTCCATTAAAAAAAAGAAACTATCAAAAAAGGTATAAGTGAGGTGATGTTAGGGAAATGAACCCTAAGATATCTATTCAAATGTATTTTTTTTCTTTCATGCGACTGTTTCTTACACATTTATAAGATGATTTCTTTGTTGCTTTGTATGTCCCTCACCCACAGTGTAACCCCTGCTTTCACTGTATTTGATGTTGGTATAATTTGTGGAGGGGAAGGGGAGAAACAAATCGTTTAAACAGGGATACAGGTGGACCCGTTGTAACAATGGGATGTACAAGTCGTTATGTTGAAAACGAACTTTACAACTTTCGTGGCGGGGAGGAGGGAGGATTGGGGGAAGCGGAAGGAGGATGGAAAGGGGAAACAAAGGAGGAGGCTACAATGCTTGATAAGAAATGTACTCATTATCTTGCCCATGTAATTGTAACCCCTCTGTACAGTATTTTCACAATAAAAAATAAATAAAGCCAGCCCATACAAGAAAAAAAAAAGGTATAAGTGGAGCTGTGGCTCAAGTGGTAGAGTGCTAGCCTTCAACAAAAGAAGCTCAGGGGTAGTGCCCAAGCTCTGAGATCAAGCCCCAGGACTGGCACCAAAATAAAACAACACTGTAGCCAACTCAGAGAAAAATGCTGGTGTAGTCTGCCAAAGTTTATTTCTACAATAGCACAGATTCAGTTGTTTTGACAATGCCTGGGAAACAAAGACTGAGGAGAATTGCTAACAGAAAGAATTAAGTTTATTGATGAATGGCAATGATAGAATTTCTATATCTGAAGGAAAAATAGAACAATAGTTTAACTCATATAGGTTTGTAAAAACTTCATGATGATTTATATTTTCTGTTTTTTTTTCCTCAGTTATTTTCTAGCACTGATAGCTCATTAAAATAAATGATTACTTTAACATTTATTTTAATAACCTCTACTAAGAACACATAATCGTGTTAATTTTATCTTCCATTTCTAATATACTGTACCAATGAGAGAGAAATAAGATCATTTGCTGTTCAGATGCTTTTCAATTAATTGACCTTCTTTATTGTGCACTTGAAATATTTGTTCACTGGGGAAAAACAATGACAAGCATTCATGCAGACAACTAAATAATTCTGTCACTATCTGACACTTTAGTTTAAAAAGATTTAATTTCTGTAAAATAATGGGATTAGAATTGTTAAAGGAAAAATGGAAACATTTAACTCCTGAGATCAAGCAGCACTAGTTTTTATTTTGAAACACATGATTAAAACTTAACACTAGGAAGAACATGTATGGAAATATCTAGGAAGTACTTAGAGTTTGTGCATTCGAGGTCTGTTTTGCTAAACTGATTGAAATATTTAATAATGGTTTCTCTCTGATGAAATGTATTCTTAATGAACAATGAACAAGATTAGAAGCAAAAATCTAGCTCTGTTCCAAGAGTAATCATGTAGTTGCAAGTATTCAAGAAGTCAAGAAACTCAAAGCTCAAATGGGAAAGCATATAAATTTCCTATTTTCCAGATTTTTGTTTTCACAGTCCTCTAGTTGAATCTCTTATATGTGCAAGATTCCCATTAAATTTAGAAGACTCATAAAGATCCTTAAATTTTCCCTAAAATGAGAAGATAAAGTAGATTGCCCGAGTAAATTTCTATTTGAATTAAGTTAATATTGCTTATCTTTATGTTTTGTCGATTTTAGCAATCTTGCTTATTGGCTTAGTTATCATTCTATTCAAAAATGTCCTTGTTAAATGTGATTAGAGTAATATCTGAGTAATGCTATTCTTTCACTTATTTTATTTTCTAAATAGCATCTTATTTCAAAGAAGCATAAAACCCGGGCTGGGAAGGTGGCTCAGTGGTAGAGTGCTTGCCTTGCATGCCTGAGGCCCTGGGTTCAATTCCTCAGCACCACATAAGCAAAAAGAAAAAAGCCAGAAGTGGCACTGTGGCTTAAGTGGTAGAGCGCTAGCCTTCAGCTGAGGAGCTGAGGGACAGCGCCCAGGCCCTGAGTTCAGATGCCATGACCGGACCCCCCCCCCCCAAAAAAAAAGAAGTATAAAACCCACATATAATTAGCCTATACTTTTTCCATTGAATCATTCAATAATCAACGGATACCCAATAGAGGATTCAATGAACGTATCACATGACAGCTCATCATCGAGTATAAAATTTTCATATTGTCCATTATTGCTTGCTTGAATCAGAAGATATGATTAATCAAAAGTGATAAGAACAGGGCCACAGAATATTATATGCACGAATATCAGTAGATTGATGAATCAACAGTGCACATAACATTAATATAACTTTAGTTAATGACTGGGCCAGAGTTGATATCTCTGTTTATTTCTGTATCACTATGTAAGTTTCATTTTTTGATTATTCCTTTTAAGTCAGATTCTAAGAGTTCTAAATATTCTGTTCTAAATATTCTAAATATTCTGGAAATATTATGTTACATTGTTGTGTTGCTAGGACTACTGAGTTTCAAATGATAACCCATTGAGAAAATAACATTTAAACCTTTTGTTAATTTGGCTGATAATCAAATATGTATTGTACATCTACTATATTCTGTACTAGTCTCAAAAGATACAGCACTGGTCAGGTGCATGTGGTGCATGACTGTAATCCCAGCTACTCAAGAGGCTGAGATCTGAGGAGCATTGTTTGAAGCCAGCCAAGAGGGAAAGTCCATGTGTAAGATTTGTATCTCTAATTAACCACCAAAAAGCCAGAGGTGGAGCTGTGACTCAAATGCTAGAGCAGTCACCTTGAGGATAAAACTCAAGAGACAATGCCCAGGCTCTGAGTTCAAGCCCCAGGACTGG